ATGTGATTCTAGCAGGGTTTGCTGATTGGATGGCAGTTTTGGAGCCTTTCTCCACTTGCACCTAACCACTGTTTTTCTCCTGCCATGTCTCTTCTCATCCCCAGCCCATAACTGGGGTAGCTGAAAGTTGTCCTTAGCTATGACAGTATTAGTGTTTTCCCTCTTTAAACAGGCAGCAAGTTGCAGTAGTTTAATCAGGGGTATCTAATGTGCTTCACCAACCATGTGGTCATTGTCAGATGACTCCTAACTTCCTTGATCAATTGAACCAGGTACGGGGTGGTCCCTGCTTCCCCACATCTTCTTATGAGTTGGGCAACAGAATACAGGTAGTCCTCGACTTAACAACAGTTCATTTAGCGATCATTCAAAGTTACAAAGGCACTGGAAAAAGTAACTCATGACCATTTTTCATACTTATGACTGTTGCAGCCATCCCCATGATCACATGATCAAAATTCAGGCATGTGGCAACTGACTCATATTTATGACAGTTGCCATGTCCTGGGGTCATGTGATCACCTTTGGTGACATTCTGACAAGCAAACTCAATGGGGGAAGCCAGATTCACTTAACAACCATGTTACTCACTTAAAAACTGCTGGGATTCACTTAAGAAATGTGGCAAGAAAACTTGTAAAATAGGGCAAAACTCATTTAACAAATGTCTCACTTAGCAACAGAAATTTTGAGCTCAATTAGGCTCGTAATTGAGGACCACCTGTAGTTTGGTTCTTTTATACCAGGTTCTTCAAATCAATCTGCAGTCTGGAAATCTGGATTAGGCCGAGCAGCCACTGAGTATGGGGTAGGGCTGCACATTAGGGAAGGAGAGGAACAACTATCTCTCTGGTGCATCACTGCACAAGCCTCTCCATTCCTGCTGGGTGTTGTTTGGGCTACTTGTGGAATAATATTAATCCTATGTTCAAAAGGAGCCAACTGTCAGATGATATAATTTATTTAGTCTTTTGCTAGAATAGCCTGTCTCCTTTAGTGCTATCCTAAAACAAAGTTATCCTAGAAGAATGCTAAATCCAAATCCAGCTAACAGTTGGCCTCCCTTTGAGTGCATTTATGAAAAAAAAACATTGTGCAGAGCCAGAACATGGATAAACCTTCTGTTAAAACTCTTCCTCACTCCATCCCACATTAAGGTGAGCAATTGGTAGATGTTTTCCCATTGGCTCTGATATTCAGTGGGAGGGGAAGGAAGCCAAGCTGAAAGAAATTCAATTTTTTGTATTGCATGTACCCTGTACACCATAAATGAGTATGATGTCATTTGATAGCATTGTGCTTGGAGCTGGGTAGGGATCACCAGTGATGCAATACTGCCAACTTAGAGACTGCTAGACAGGACTTTAATTCCTCCATGAGGAAAAGACATTTTTGTGTGTATGCTTCATCCACAGAAGTTTAACTACAAAGAGGCAACAGCAGGTGTCTGAACAACAGAGAACTTACTTTTTCAAAAGCAGTTCCCCAAATTATATATAACCTTTTGATATATTTTTATCTTTTATTTTAGTTACTAGTAGATATGTAACTATAGTTTAAACTTCAAAAGCAGGAAGCAGAGCACTCCTTTTGAATTGGAGCAGTCCCCAGGTTCATGGAAAAGTAACCAAAAAAATCTGCACGAACTAGTCACTTACAGTATTGCTTTTACTCAACCAGACTTTTCCTAGATTTATGGTACTGCAGGTGTTCCCTCTCCCTCCTCCCGAAGTTTGCTGTATTCTTTAATAATAGATAATTCCTATGTCCCTCAATGTCACTGTTATGAGACATAGGGCCAGCATTTATTCCTTTTTCTTTTCTGGCCAAGCATGCAAGGCAATGCCACCAGATGTGGTGGTAATGCTCTAAGAATGATTACATGCAAAACAAAAACAAAATCCAACACATGCTCCCTAATTTTTCCCTAGTTCACTAGAATGTGGGAAATTATAAAAGGGAGGAGTAGTATTACAATAATATTGTTATTAAATGCTTATTTTTTTAATTCATGTGACATGGTGCTTTCCTGAGTATGAAATAGCATTTGCAAAGGCGAGCCTACAGTTTTGAATTTAACACAGATAAAACAACAAAGAAGGCTCTTTTTGGACATCAGAAAGCAGAATGAAGATGTTTCATTATAAGCAAGGAAAGGAAGCTGGAGATTTTTTCCCATCAAAACGGCCTAGTGGGGAACTCTTCGAGGTTAAGAACCATTTTTAATGTTTTTTTTTTGAGGGGTGGGCAGTGCAATGAGGCAAAATGGGCATGAATAGATCACACACCCAGCCATGTTTTGTAAACTGTATTGTAGCTTAATATATTTTGTAAATTCATCATATTCCGGATTGATCAGAAAACTATGATTAAGCAAACTATAGCACCATTTATAGGCCTAATTTCTGTCTTAGATTAAAAGGACAACAATAGCAGTGCATCTGGATTAATTTAAGGGTTACTGAAATAGTGCATTAACTACAATTCTCAATTCCCACTGTGCCAGTGGCTGTTTACAAAGCTGAAGAAATTGGAGCAACCATATAATTCCTTCCATTCATTAGAAAGTTGCCTTGCTGGGGGTGAAATTTCTGAGAGTCTCCTTCCATGGGGAGAGGCTGGAGGGATATCCCCCTTGAGAATAAGGGCTGCTCTCCAGATTTCATTAAATCTTATTTTTGCTGGGAAAAGTTGCCAGACTTACTGATTTGTCCAAGGAATGGCTAAAATAAATGACAGGAATGTCCCAAATAGAAGGGACCTAGGTGCCAGATATTCTCCACTTACAATCTTTGACTTTATGCCCAGTGGCTTTGGTTTTGTGCTAAATATGGGCTGTTTGCCCTGCTCCATGGGAAACCTGGGGTAACCTGAGTCTCTTTCTTTGGCTTATCCTCTCTTCAAACAAATGAATAATTCATCAGACAATAGCTTCAACCTGAACCAAACAGAAAGAGAGAGAACTTTGGAGTCTTGCCCAGACTTGGAGAGGCAAAGATTGGGTTGGGGTTATTTCCGGAGCTGCAGCCCAGCTACCCTTGTGTGGAGTCTCATGCACACACACATCCTGATAATGAGCTTGACATGCTTGCTGCATTCCAGAGAGTGTAGCAAATATTTATTGTTGTATGAATTTTAAGTTAATGCTTCTATACAGGAATCAAATCTGGACAGATTTTCCTGATCTGGCCAGAGCAGAGTGCAGGAGGGAAAAAAAGCTGTGAAACAGCCTGTGCACTATGAAGACCCAGGAGCCTAGAATATGCAATCAGTAACAGACACATCAATGGCCATATGTCTGCAGCAAGGTGTCTGGTACACACACAGACTTTGTAAGCAGCAAGTACTCTTTTACACACAGAAAGCAGAGCCACCAGACAATACATACCCAAATAGAAATCATTTCCTGGTACTCACTGGCACCAATTAAACTCCAGTCAATATCAGTCTTTATTTGCATTTATCCAACACCAGTGCAGATAAGAGTTCCATTTCACCTGTTAGCAAGTACAACCCAAAATAAGGGCAGCCCAAGGCAAACCAAACCACACCACCTCCTTCCTGCATTTGTGATGAGGGATCATAGACATGTCTCCTCCTGATCAAGTTCTTATTAAAAGAATCTTTCCTCAGTGACTTGGTGCAATTTCAAGAAGCACTGATGGGTTGTTTATTAGGGATCAGATATGTCTCTTTTCTGTTCTCCAAATCCAACATGGCAGGCAGATGTTTTTTCCTTTTTATCCAAGGTGGAAATTTCTGTATATCCATAGTTCCACATGAAATCTATGACATTAAGTGACTGATCTCAGGTAGCAAGAGGGGGAGGATCCTTCATTTCCCAGGAAGACATTGCCAGTGAAAAGAAAGAGCCCCATCCTCAATAGTTAGATGTTCCAGACAGAAAGGTCAATATCACCCATCACACAACAACTTTTGATCTCAAGTTGCAGGGAAATACCATCTCCTCCTGACTCTCTTAACCATCCCGCCGCTGAGCCTTTGCTTCCTGTTATAGAATCATTTTTCCAACAATTAAAACAAAACTCCAGGAATGGTGCCTTCTGGGTAGCTGCACCCTAGCCCTGAAATAGCCCTCCCAAGGATTCCCACTCCTAACTAGATTAAAAAAATACTTCCTGTTACCTGGAAAGGCTAATCATCCAGTAACTGTATAAAGATACAGTACTTAACATGCAATATTACTTTGTCATTTTAAATTTTAATTCTGAAAATTTTAAATACTTTGATTTCTGTTACATTGCTTTCTGATAGTTTAAAACTTGGTATCGTTTTACTGTTAATATTGTAAATCAGAGTATGTATTTAGTTAAATTGTGTACAAATCACCCATTACGAATTCCTTAAGTGCATAGAAATAAAATAGAAGACACCCAAAAAATCCTTCATAAGAAATCTATGCTAATACATTTGTTGAGATCAAAGCTGCTTTCTTGGCTTCCTCTAAAAAGAAGCGCGCGCTCTCTGTTCCCATGGCGTTTGGGGTTTCTGAGAAAACGAAATCAAAATTGCCGCTGGTAGGGCGAGGGGGTGCGGCAGTCTCTCCCGCTCCCCTTGATGCTTTCACCGGGCAAGCGTTTCAGAGTCATTCAGAGTGCGTGAATTGAGCGGCTGGGCAGTTTTGGAAGCCTGTGGAGACCGGGAGTACCCAAGCCAGCCGGGGGAACGCAGAAAGGCTCGATCAAGCGCTGCAGGCGGGACTACAGTCAAGTGCAGGGGGAGAAAAGGCGCCGGGGAGATAAACAGGAAAAGTCTCGTTTTAAGCGAGGCTGATTCTCTGGGATTAATCCACGGCAGCGTGGTCGGTCAGGCAAACCAACAGCCGGGTCTGCCGGTCACCCACGTGGGCTCGGTCCCGCCCTGCCTCCCTCCGCGGCGGGCCCTTTGTCCGCCCTTTTGCAGGGCGGCTCCTGTCTCGCCTCGCTTCTCTCCGCCTCCCCCTCCGCCCACCCACCCCCTGTCTTTTTGCTTTGCTGCAGGAGCGGCGGAGGCTGCAGGAGCGCATCCTAGCCACCCGGCGGGAACTGGAGGAAGAGAGACTGCGAGTCCAACGCCTCAAGGTACCACCCACGAAAAGGATACAGGAATGGATGGACCACCGAGAGGTGGAGATGGCTGTGCGAGGATCAGAAGCCAAAATATGGGTGTGGGAGTGGGGAGCAGCACTGAAAGAGGAAAGAAGGTACTTGTAAGCGACAGCCGATTCCCCCCACACCAAACTGAAGGGAAGGAAGAGGCTGTGATGCACCCTGCTGTGGGTAATACCGAATCTTTGGGGCTAGGTACATCTAGGCAATTCCAGAAGGCTGACTGGGTTTGCACCGTATTCATTTTTGTTTGACAGTCTTCTGGTGCTCTGCCTTGAGCCAGTTTATTTGTTAGTTTTATATCGTATCTCTCCTTCAGGAGCTAGCTCCAGTTTCTTCCCAGAACAAGCTTATATACGTGTGTGGTTTTGGGGGGGGGGAGAGAATGTATGCATTATGGAACTGAGTATCTGCACTGGTGGGTGTGTCCAACATCTACTGTTAAGCCATAGAGCTTCACATGAAATGTCATTTGTATAGGACCATATATAAGGGTGTGGCTGAACAAGCATAGGAGTAGATACATGTACTGTACGTGTACATGTGCATCGGCTTCAGACTGGAACTCATTTGTCTTGATGCATCCTGATAGCCCACGTGCATGTCCAGTATGAAGCAGACCCTAAATGCAATCTCTGTCTCTGTTCTAAGAGAAAATCCCTGCGCGAACGCTGGTTGATGGAGGGAACATCCATGCCTGCTGATGACAAGGAACACATGTCTTCTCTTTGGGAGGCAGAGTCTCATGTCCAAGACTTAGAACAAAATCTGTCCAGGTGGGTGTGTCCTAAGTGATGGTGGATGTGGAGCTTTGGGAATACAGTAACTGGAAAGGATTGCACTTCTCATAATTTCAACCAGCCAAAGAAACTGTCATTTTATAAAGCAGAATGGTTGTTTCAAGAGAAGTGTAAGGGACACGTCATTCAAAGGTAATCGTTTGCTGCTTTATGGGGATTTCCTCCATCTGCAACACTTTGGGGATGTAGCAGCTGGGGAGAAGCCAGGTTCAGTTGCTGCTTAGATCATCCTGCTTTTCTTCCACAGCTGCCTCAGAGTCTCCTGCTCCCTTTATTCTTCCACTACCCTCGGTGCTTGCTATCCAGAACACTTCTGCCGTCCACCACTTGTTTCCTGAATTTCCTCCCCAATTTGTGAAGAATTTCCCACAATCCCCAATGCCAGAGTCATAGGGTAGCCAAATGCACGTCCCCCTTTGGGAGCTCAGGAGAAGCGTCTCAGAAATAGGCAAGCTTTGATTTCTCCAGAACTCTGCATTTGCTGCTTTTCTTAACTCATACCTTCGGTACCTGCCAGCCCGATGAAGAGCTCTAAAGAATTCAAAAGCTTGCACAGTTTTCTCTCTTATGAAGGTTCTGCCAAAGTTTTGAATTTGGGATGCTTTTCTTCGTGAACCATAAATGACAGAATGGAACTTACCATCTTCTCCCGACTTCATTAATTGCCTGAACTTGTTTCACTACATTCCCCTTCCCCTTTTGTTTCTCTACATCAGATTTTTCAAGTGTAAGCCACCCTGGGCAGAGACTTTTCTTCTGGTGTTGGTTTATAAATAAAGAGCCACACTGGCAGCCTTTTGCAGTTCTGGGTAGAGCTGCAAATAGAGACTGATGATGACATAGACGTCCCCCTGGGGACACTAGGGAGTGCTGTTTAGCTGGGACTTGGTGTCTCCCTCCTGCTTCTATGAGCTCTCTTTCAGGAAGAGGCTAAAAACAAAACTGAACTAAAAGTGTGTAGGGAGGAGGAGGAGCCAACACACAAGAAGCCTAAAACCACTATCTGGCCTGAGGAAACTGGAGAGAAGGAGGATGGAAATGCTCAAATGAGTGATGATTCAGTAGGCCTCCTGAGACAATGCAAAGATAACCACCTAACATCCATAGCTGACCTGAAAAAGCTAAGCAGCATTGATTCTTGTTAGTATTTGGATGGGAGACCACCAGGTAATGCCAAGAGTGGTCTAGACTAGACTAGATTAGGAAGTTGGAAAAACATCCTGGAAGAAATCCACTTCTGGGCCACTGCCAAGAAAACTGCATGGCTGAACCACAAAGATACTGGAATAATATAAACCCTACCTTTTGAGAGGTGTGTGGGAAGCCATAAAGGAACATACATAAATCCCATTATAAATGTAACACAGTCATCCCACATGCACGCACCTTAAACAACTACTCAACAATTGCCCAAGAAAGTAAGTAGTGTTCAACTCGCAGTATAAAAGACAGCTGAGTGAATTGTTTCTCAAAGGGAATGAAACTTGAAATCTACTTAACCAATGAGACACATTTATTTTAATATTTTTGCCCCTCTATGAAGCCAAGGAGCTTTCCAGTGGAGATTATAAATAGAATAAGACTATAAAATAAAACAAAAATACCAAATCAATAAATAATAATTGAATTGTCTTCTATATTGAGGTAATAAATTACATCCAATCGGTAGCTGTCTTGGCAGCTTGCAGATTTTTATGTCAAAAGTTTTGTATTACAAAAGAATTGAGCAGGCTGGTTTGAATCTTTAAAATTCTATGTGGTGGTAAATGTCTGGCCTTCTAGATCTGGGAATTTTGAGTTCAGTAACATCTGAAGAACCACAGGTTCTCCAGATTCTTTTATTCTATAGCTGGAATCTCCTCTCTAAAAATTAATCTGGGTGAGGTTTGCAAATAAAATCTTTCTTTCACTTTGTGGAGAAAGGCAAATTATAAGAAATGGACCCTTCTGGCTTCCTCACAATATCAAGCTTACTGTTGACTGTTTTCCAGAAACCAACCTGTTCTAATTTGGTTCATGTATTTCAGGAACACATCAGAAATAGGCATTGAGTTGAACATTTATAGTAATCTGCTCTAGAAGGTATCAAAGCATGTATTATGGTGCCCAAGTCCATCAATTTCCTGCTAAAAGAGTCTTCTCTTTGCTAATAGGATTTATAATAGGATTTATTTATTTATTTATTTATTTATTTATAATAGGATTTAGCTGGCTGGGGAATTCTGGGAGTTGAAGTCCAGATGTCTTCAAGTGGCCAAGGTTGAGAAACGCTTATTTAGATGCTGTTGAATTCAGTTCACCAGTGCTCTTGCAGCCTGGGAATGCTGGGTATGCAGCAGTATCTAGAACAGTTTTCTCAATCTTGGCAACCTTGAGACGTGTGGACTTCAGCTTCCAGAATTCCCCAGGCACTATATGTATATGCTGGCTGGAAAATTCTGGGATTTATGTAGAACTTGGATTTAGAACTTGGATCTCAGTACCAATGTGCTTTAAGGGAATGTTTCTCTTGTGTTCCCCTATGTTCTGCAAAGGCCCCCAAGCATTTTCTCTAATATCTCATTCTTTCTCTCTCTGAAGTCTTCAGTCTCAAATGCAGCACCTAGATAATTTGGATCTTCCCCAAGGATGGCAGCAGCAGTCTTTGAAGGAGGTGAAGCCATTGGATGGCATTGTGAAGGTATTTATTATTAATTTGTTTGCTGCCAAATCTTGTAGCCTCACAGCAGCGCATGATGAAAGAGAAACAGAGTAAAACATCCATGGTGAAAGATGCAATACATTTTAATAAATCAGACAAAAAGACATGTCAGATTAAACAGGTGACTAATACCAAATGGCATACAGTATTCGCTAAAGATGCTCTGGAAGTGTATCACTATTTTCAGAAGGCCATTCCCAAGGAGCCAGTTTAGCTTCTAATGGAAATCTGTTCCAGAGAATAAGCATCAATGCTTATCAGTTATAAGACTGTTAACAGTGCTTTCTGGCTTTCGTCCCTATCACTTCATGAAACTGAGGTTCTCTGAAGAGACTGACCAATTCTTCTTGGAGTGGGAGGTTCTGAAAATACCTAGTACAGACATGTCAAACACAAGGCCCGGGGGCTGGATGCGGCCCGCGAAGTGGTTTCATGTGGCCCGCGAAGCCATCCTGGAAACAGTGAGGGAACGGCCCCTGCTGCCTTGGCCCTGGCCCAGGCCAGCCGGGAGGCAATGTACAATTTTGTGGTGGCCATCTTGGCACTTGCCCCGGTGGACCATGCCTTGGCACTTGCCCCAGTCCCACCCCCTTCTGCCAGAGACCCTCAGATCTGTCCCACTCCTGCCCAGGCCCCCATAGGCACCCTTGATGCAAATAATGTAGAACTGGCCATGTCCACACAGTACCCACACCCACTCCATCCACGCCCACCCAGTAGGCTGCACCCACTCTGACCACACACACACGCCACCCCACCAGGGCAACCACAATGCTGATGCAGCCCTCAGTGAAATTGAGTTTGACACCCCTGACCTAGAACCTATAATTCAAAACTAGCATGTTGAATTGCCCCTGGAAATCTTTGCTAATTAGTGCAAGGCCTAGAAGATTAGAATTAGAATTAGAATTATAGAGTTGGAAGGGACCTTGTAGGTCATCTAGTAGTCCAACCCCTCACCCAAGATAGTTGCAACATGTCAACAGCAGCTAGTACCATTCAATAGTGGAATATTGTAAACATCTAATCATACAGTTATGACTTGTGTCACTATAGATATAAGCAGCCTCAAAAGTTTGCAAGCATGTGGTGGTGATCCTCCAAAAATTATTGTCCAGTAGGAAGTTTTAATTCACATTAGAAGTCATTGTAGCAAAAAAATAAAGCTGCCTTTATCCATGTGCTGTTTTTTTATGTAGGTTCTCAATCGACCCTACAGTCTTGCATTTTTCTGATTTTTCCCCATCCAAGTTCTAAGAAGGGTTGAGACCATGTTTAGCTTTCTATATTATTTGATACATTTATCTAATTTCATTGTTATTATACTCAATCTTACAAATCAAATCAAGTCCAGCTTTAATTCAGGTCTTGTCCCCCTTTTAAAATGAGGCTCCCGATTTCTTATTTGAAGCTTTAGATTGCACTGTTCAGCTCAAGAGGCCTCTCTTTCCATTCTTCTGCCATTCAGAAAATGTTATCAGAAGCAAGGCATTCACCAGAAAGGAAACTCATACAGACAGAGAGGCCAAGCTTTGAAATTGGACTTTGGTTTTTGTCTTTGGGAGCAACAATCCATGCTGGTGGTGAAGTTTTCCTATTGGAAATAGGCCTCAGCAGGAACATTTGAACAAAAGGTTCTATCACATTTTTCATGAATAATAAGCCAAGATTCTGCAGAATTCCACCGTATTATTTTGTGTGAATATAGCTATATTAAGTTACAGCTAGAATATGCAAAGACAAAACAACAATCTGCATTTGCACAATCATTTCCAGATTGAGGGTAACATCTGAATTTGAAGTGGGCCTGTTGATTATATACCTGGCTCCCTGCTATGTATCAACGGCCCTGCCTGAGCTGGCCGACGTGATAGCCGGGGTGGCAGTTGAGACCCCCAGACTTATAGTCATGGGGGACTTTAATCTGCCATCGGCGGGCGAAACGTCGGCGGCGGCTCGGGAGTTCTTGGCCTCCATGACGGCCTTGGACTTGACCCA